AAGGACAGAAGACCAGTACATTTTTCATGGATGCGCAAGCGCGCTTACAAGCGCGCCTGCAGGCGGGCAGAGCAGAGCCGAGACTCAGGAACCATGTGCAGAGGCCGCTGGTGCTCCTTGCAAGAGCTACGGGGTAGATCTGCTTCTGCTTCAGGGGGTTTGCCAGGCCCTCGCGCTCAGCGGCAAGTTTCCTGCAATCTCACAACCATGCTGTCCAAGCAACGGCTAAAGGTTATGACGTACAACCTGGGAGGGATGACCATGACGGCGTATGACACGCTCCGACGCTGGTTACATAGTAATCAGGAGGTAGATGTCCTGCTGCTCCAAGAAATCCACTGGAGCCTTGGTCGCGAGGAAACCTCCAGGGCCATCCCTGGATGGCTATTTATTATTTCACCGGATCCGGGCGCGAGACACAGCGGCGTCGGCATAGTAGTATCGCGACGTATAGCAAGCGCGCACACGCTCTCCTACTGTACGTGGCTACCTGGTCGCATTTTGCAGGTCCGATGCGAGTCCCAGCTTGTGAACCTGGATTTGATCAGTGCCTATCAATGGGTGCGCAAGGACTCGACACACAAGGACCCGGAGCAGCTGCGCAACAAGTTCTGGTCGGTGCTCGGTGGCCTGTTGGGAGGACTGCCGAGGCGTAACATGTTGGTGCTGGGAGGGGATTTCAACTCCATGGTTGCTCCGATTCCAGGCCTTATTGGCAGAGGTTTACTTCCCCACCCCACCCGCAAGCCAGAAGCTGAATTCCTTACGGTGATAGAGGAACACAAACTTTGTCTTCTGAATACCTGGAGCAAGGCTAGACCTACTGTAAGTGCTACGTTTTGTAATGGAGCCGTTACCTCGCAAATCGACTTTGTTGCAGTGCGGCAGCGCAACGCGGATGCACTGGCGCGCAGAGCCAAGCCGACCTCGCTTGACCTTGTGCCAGGTCGAGAAGGCCCCAAGCATAGAGCGGTTGCTGCCAGCGTTCCTATAGTGCCTGGTTGGAAATTGCCTAAGGGTTTAGCTCCCCCCAAACCCCGCTACTCCAAAACTGACCTTGCACTGGAACTGCAGCAGCCGACAGCACGTACCGAAGCCTTCCGTGAACAAGTGAGATCAGCCGTAGTGCAGGCCACTGCCGACTGTCTTCCGCTGGCCGAACTCAACCAGACTCTCCTCAGGCTCTGTCAGCAACATTACCCGCTTAGGAAAACCTCCATCATGCGACCAGGCGAAGACCCGGCAGTGACTGAAGGGATTCGCGAGATGTGGCGACGGCACAGAGCCCTCAAGACCCGCCAGGCTGGTAGCGCACGTAAGCAAGTTTTCTCTGCGTGGATCCGATATCGGGATTTCATGAGGGCGTGGAGGGCTCTGCGTGCCATCAGCCGTAACGCTCGTAAGCGTTGGCTGGAGTCCCAGGTGACGCAGGCAGAGGAGGCAGCTGGAAAGCATGATATGCGTACTGTTTATAAGATCATACAACGCATAGCGCCCAAACGTCGGTATGAGCCGGTTCGCATTCGAGGTGACGATGGTAGATTGCTCAATAAGAATCAGCAATTCCAGGCACTCCTAGCCTACTTTCGGGCTGCCTTTGGCGGCACACCGCTGCCTGACTGCGAGTCTTCCTGTGCCGATCCGCACTTCACGCTGCCAGAAATAGAGCTAGCGATACGCCAGTTGAAAAACGCCAAGGCTGTGCCAGCAGCCAGTCCCACGGCTGAAGTGTGGAAACATTGCTCCCCAGAGCTCGCGGTGTACTTCCAGACCATCTTTCAACACAGTAGGCAAGTAGGCCCCAGACTCCCACAGCCTATGACTGATTGTACCCTTGCACTTCTGCCCAAGCCCCAGAAACCGCTGCGTAGACCGCAGGATCTGCGCCCATTGGGTCTCCAGGACCCTAGTTCCAAGGTCCTAGCGGGTTTGGTTCGCAATAGGCTCCAAGAGCAGGTGCAAGATTGGCTGGCCAGTAAACCTCAGTTCGCCTACATAGCAGGCCGATCCGGGGATGAGGCAATTAGCCGAGTTTTTCAGCGATGCCGTAGCGCAAGGGAGAGCCTCAAAGCGGGGGCTGACAATGTGCATGCCAAGCGCGCGGGGGTGCCACGGGTATCCTGCAGCGGCGGAGCGCTGTTAAGCATTGACCTTTCACGAGCGTTCGACACTGTGCCCCGTCGAGCTCTCTCCCAGGCGCTGCGGGCCGCAGGAGTAGATTCGGAGCTGCATGACTTGGTTCTAGATCTGCACGAGCACTGCCAATATGAGATTTCTCAGGGTCAATACGCTGATAAGTTTGATATGCAGTGCGGAGTTAGGCAGGGGTGTTCCTTATCACCCCTTCTCTACGCAATATTCACAGGGTGGGTCTACGACATCATAAAAGATCGCACTAATGAAGCCTGGGCGCGGGAATTCATTACAATGTACGCAGATGACACCGTACTCCAGTGGCATGTGCGGAGCGTGCAGGACCTGCACTTTATGTGCCGGAGTGTCCAACACACCTTCCCAGGTGCTCCGAGAAATCGGGATGAGCGTGAACTCTTCGAAGTCCAAGGTTATCATCAAGCTGCAGGGACCCCAAGCCAAAGCCTGGTTACGCAAACACCTGTTTAGGACTCCCCAGGGTCAGGTTCTTAGGCTAGGTACCCCCTGCCATCCAATAGACGTTCCAAGAGTTCACAGCCTCACCTATCTTGGTGTGGAAGCCTCTCTGGCCGGCTTCGAGCTGCAAACGTGTGCGTTGCGAATGCGTATGAGTGCGCAGATCAAGCATCGCCTGGTTAAAGTGCTTCATACAGCCAAACTAGGCTTGCAGCACCGAGTACGCCTTTACCAAGCTTGTCTTCGCAGTTCTATGCTTTACGGACAGCATGCAGTAGGCCTCAACATGGCGGTCCTCAGACGGCTCGAAGCCGCAGATGCAAGGCACTTGCGAGGCATCGCTCGCAGCCCGGCGCACCTCACGCATGAAAGCAGTCTTCATCTCCGACAACGACTCCGCATTTCATCCCCACAACAAGCTCTAATCCAAATGCTGCAACGCCGGACTGCGGGCAGCACGGACGTCTCTAGTCGCGCCTGCTTTCAGGAGCTGCTACAGTGGCTCAAAAACCAGCCGCAGGTTGATGCGCATGAGGCGACCACTCGGCTGCGGCCTGTTGACTCTAGTAGGCATATAGCATGCGAGGTTTGTGGACAATACTTCGGGTCCATGCAGCATTTGCTGTCGCATCATGCCCGCAAACATCCTGATGCCACGATCCCGGCAGCGACAGGAGCCTACTATGAGCATACGGTCGATGGAATGCCAGAGTGCAGACATTGTGGTGCTAAGTTCAACAGGGTTGCTGCCATGCGCAAGCACCTGAAGGGGGCTTGCCCAGTACTCTTTGCGCAACGCAGAGCAACTGCCGCCGACGTCTCCACAGGGGAGGTACCCCAGCGGAGCGAGGAGCTGCTTACAGGGCACACGTGCCGGGCTCCTATGGACGGTTGCTCAGATGTTCCTCTTGTACAGCAGACGGAGTACTGTGCCGTAGCACGCACCAGCTGGAAACAAATACTGCGCCAGCCTCACTTCGTCTGCAGCCTTCGCACGCATTGCGCAGTTTGCCGACAGTGGCTGTCCATGCAAGGGCCGGGAGTCAAACAGCATTATCGCTTGGCCCATCCAAACATCTGGAATCTGAAGGCCGAAGCCGTGTCTAGAAGCAAGGGTTTGGGCCTCTCCTACACGCGACCCTGCAGCTACTGCCAGCAGGACTTCAAGGACCCTAGAGCGCACGTCCCGAGATGTGGTGCGGTGTTTCAGGCCTCCATAACTGCATTGTGGATTTCCCAGGACCATGGCAGGCAGTGCGGATCAGAGATGGCGGAGGTGGCCCGGAGAGAGTACGCCGAGGTAATGGGGGCCATTCCGGCGCCCCTTCCCAGTCTGATGACTGCCACGAGGCGCAAGCCGGAGGAGGACAAGGCCACGGAGGAAGACCGTCAACCCAAGTACCCACGCCCGGGCTCGGAGACTCAGAAAGGCCAGGGCCAACGACGGGGCAAGGGGAACTGGGGACGAAACAGCTGGGACAGCGCCAACTGGAGTCGTTCTTCCGGGTGGGGCGAACAGGGGGACACGGGCGACAAGCAGCCGAGCGAGCCGGACTACGCCACTCAGGCGCTGTTGCGCTCGATGACCAAGCTGGTCATCCGGCACGAAGAAGAGCTAGCTCGGCTCCGGGTGGATACGTCGTGGATGCTGTTCATCGACACCCACGAGGAGGGAATCCTACCCCTCCTACAACAAGCAGCGGAACAGTGGCAGATCAAGTGCGAGGCCCGTGCAGTGACCACGGGGCTACGAACCGTCCTCTTTTTGGCCATGGTCACCGAGGCCAAACGTCGCCTGGAGCTGATGCTCGAGCCCGAGCAACAGCAGCGGGCCACCAACGTCGGCTGGATGGGGCAGGGACCCACGGCGTTGACACCGGTGTGGAACTACCACGTCTGGAATCCGGAACGGATGCAGCAGGAGCGGTCGGAAAGACCGCCATTGTGCCACCAGACGGCGTTGCAGCATCTGCAGACATTGATCGACTGCTGCGTCATCCCCAATGTCCTGACACGCTGCAAGGCGACGCGGGGCCTGGAAGGGGAGCACACCAGCCCGGTGGTTCCGTTCATGCTATCCCTGTCCTTGAGGAACGAGGCCACAGCGCGCTGCCACCAAGCCCTCGCGGCCCTGGACGGAAACGCAAGCCTGAAGCCCTCGGGGGTTCGCCTCAGACCCGAGCGCGGCCAGCCGTCACAGTTGTGCCGGGAGTTGGCGGATCACTATCTCAAGGTCTCCTACACGGACACGGCGCGCCCCAAGGCGAGGGCGCAGAAGAAGCCATCGCCGCCCCGGACGACGCAGGAGACGGACGAACTGTGAACCAGGCCGTCCGCGGAGTCACATGTCAGGTTGCACATCCCCTGCCTCAGGTCCCACAGGCAACATTGCAAAACCCGCATTCGCTGTGCTACATGAACTCAGTCGCACAGTCCATTGCCTGGCAGGGTCAACTTTCCTCGGCGCCATTGCTCTGCTATGGACAAGCCAGTTTTGCGCTGCAGATGGTGCTGCGCCCAGGTAGGCCTACCCTGCATCGTAGCCTCCCCTGGCTCCCCTATGTGCAGACATGGTCACACGTAGCGCAGCAGCATGACGCCAGTGAATATTTCCAACATGTTCTCCGCATAGCACAGCCACCTGCCTACGATGGCGCCTGGGAAGCCCGATACTCCAATCCACACCAGGTCACGGATGGTGGCACACTGCGGAGCCCCCTCTTGCTGGAGGCTTGTGGACCGGACTTGCAAGCAGCCGTAGATAATTGGCATGTCCAGCCTGCTGTTCATGCCCTCAATCAGCATGCGGGGCTTGTTTTGTTGCAGCTTAAGCGCTACAGTTACGAAGATGGCAGGTCTTGTAAAAACCAAATTCCCATCACCTGCAGGCCAGGCGCGGTGATTGGGGTGCCGCGCTTCACTGCCAGCACCGGACTACAAGTCCGACGTGAAAGATTCCGTGTTGCCTTTGTGATATTTCACATAGGGGATCGTACTGATACAGGCCACTATCAGGCTGCCCTCAGTGTTCCAAGCCCTGCAGCTGTGGCTGCCCATCCCGAGGCACCATCAGCATGGATCTTTCAAATTTGTCAAAACAGATGCAAGCCCAAGAAAGCCGTGGCCAGAGATCAGGTACTCATCAACCATAATGGGTATCTAGTTGGCCTCATCTGCGTCGATTGACAATAGGGTGTGAGCTCTGGCTGACGGCACCTGCCGAAGCGCACTACTGCCGTTCACGACTGGAGCCTGCTGCTCTTAGTGTGCAAAACCTGAACACAGAGCCTGCAACATGCCACCCGCAACCATTTGTCCGCCTTTCTTTTTACGCTTTGTTGAATTTCATATGCATGTACGGATTGTCGCAGCGCAGCTTTCACCTACAGTTTTGAGTTGTAGTATCACCGTGTGCGCATCATTGCAGCGGCCGGCCGGGGCACCCAGTAGCGCTACCACCTGAGCTGTCTGCAGTCTGCAAGTAGCAGTTGTTGAGCAGGACAGGTGTGTCTGTCTGCCGGTGTGACATTGGGCTGAAGCGATTCAATGCTCCGTCGCTGCCCTCTAGCAGCGTCTCTGCTCATGGCTCGGGAACTGCCGCTGCCACAGGCCTGGTATCAGACTGCACTGGAGGAGTCCCTTCTCCTGGACGCGCTTCGCCATCTGATCCCTGATGAGCGACCGCTGTGCATACCACCGGCCGCTTCAATGGCATCGCGCAATGACATCATTGAGCTGGCAAGAAAGCTCTTGTCACCAGCGGAGTATGAAAATTTCTTGCTGTATGCGAACGCATTGAGCCAGCATCTGCTCCACATGACGGAAGACCTCTTTCCTGCTGCACCTGCCTGTGACCTAGGGCCACCGGCCCATCCAGCAGAAGCGACTGCTCGGCTATACATGGACGTGCAGCAAGGCTCACTTTGGACGGCTGTCCGGGCCATTGTCGTTGAATTGCCCTTCAAGACGCAGCAGCGCCAGCTCTCAGCCAAGCCTGTACTGACCTTCAGTGCTGGAGCTTATGGGCATCGATCATACGTTGGACTGCACAAGCACACGCTGCAGACGCCGACAGTCTGTCGCATGGTCAACGCTCTGATCCGCGGCCTCGCTCCCTCTCTGCGCTGGAC